GGTTAAGTGCGCGTACTCCCCGGCTGGTGGCCCGGGTTCAGATCCTGGGCACGCACCAACGCACTGCTTGTCAGGCCACGCTGTGGCGGCGTCCCACATAAAGTGCAGGAAGATGGGCACGGATGTTAGCCCAGGGCCAATCTTCCTCAGCAAAAAGAGGAGGACTGGCATCGGATGTTAGCTCAGGGCTGGTCTTCCTCACAAAATAAATTAATTAATTAATAATAAAAAATGATTACTCTATTAGTTTGGTGGGAAAAAAAATTAATACATTTCTAGCTGTTTCTTTTTTCACAAACAGTGCTAAAACACCTGTCCTCTCAATGTGCCAATATTTAAATTCTCAAAGCCAGATCATTAATTATATTTAACATCAATCACTTCTCACAGTTGTTGCCTTTTTTGGTTTTTCAAGCAACATTCTAAACTGTTATCTCTTCCACCCACAGGTGTGCAGCATATCACAGTCTCAAAACATTATTTCTTCACAGGAATATTACCCTGAACTTATCCTTAAAAATAAAGACAAATCTACGTATATCATTCTGCCTATTACCAAAAGTCACCATAAATTTCTGAGCTAAACTTCCACGGTGCTCAATGCCTAGTTCCCCTTGTATAGTGATGGAACGTGCTGTCTTCCACTTAAATATTAAACTTTACTGAGCTCAGAGTTTGTGTAAAATTCTCTCAATACATTCCCCCAGCCTGGCAGCTATCACATTTGGATTAGGCAATCTTCAGTTGCCTAAATACTTGGGCAGTTCACTAGTAATTATGTAGTTTAAACAAAGTTTTCTAGTTTCTTGCTATATATGCAACATGGAATTTAAAAACCTGCTAAAATGAAGACAAAGTGAATGAAGCACACAATCTAGCTAACTCCTCATACACCAATATATTTTAAACTTCCCGGGGCTAAACATTCTGAAATTGGGAAAATAAAATACTTTTAGACATTATTTTTGTTATTGTTATTATTAGCAATTACATTTAATAAGAACCTACTACATTCCAGGCACTTGGAATACATTAATTAAATTAATCCTCACAAGACCCTTATGAGGTAAGTATTATCATTTCTTTTTTTTTTTATAATTTTATTTATTTATTTTTTTCCCCCAAAGCCCCAGTAGATAGTTGTACATCATAGTTTCACATCCTTCTAGTTGCTGTACATGGGACTCGGCCTCAGCATGGCCGGAGAAGTGGTGCGTCAGTGTGCACCGGGGATGCGAACCCGGGCCGTCAGCAGCGGAGCTTGAGCACTTAACCGCTAAGCCACGGGGCCGGCCCGGTATTATCATTTCTATTTTGCAAATGGAATAAACTCAAATTTAGAGAGATTAAGTAACTTGCTCAACGTCAAGACATGATGGAGTCGGATTTTAGAATTAGATCTGTTTAAACTAAAGCCTATGTCACCAATGGTAGCAATTAAAGGTCAAATGTCCATTGAATTGAGCTGCTAACATTTCTTTTAAATGAAAACAAGACAATGGAGCTAATACTGTTGCTTCAATTATATTTTCTCTTAAAATATAATGAACCATCAGAATAATCCATAAAGATAGAAAACCAGACATTAACGTTAACTATAGTTTTAAAGTTAACACCCAGTGAGAGCAATTAGTGACAATTATAGTGATTTATTTTTTCACACAATGCTCAAAATGAAGTGATTTCTACACTAATAGATTTTTAAACACAGAATAATTAACAGAATCAAGCATTTAACCATATTGACTACATAGCCTTAAACATTTATCTATAATCAATTTTAAGAAACTGGCCAAATATTCAATATATTTATTTATTATTATTTTTTTTTTTTTGAGGAAGATCAGCCCTGAGCTAACATCCATGCTAATCCTCCTCTTTTTGCTAAGGAAGACCAGCTCTGAGCTAACATCTATTGCCAATCCTCCTCCTTTTTTTTTTTTTCCCCAAAGCCCCAGTAGATGTACGTCATAGTTGCACATCCTTATAGTTGCTGTATGTGGGACGCCGCCTCAGCATGGCCAGAGAAGCGGTGTATCGGTGGGCGCCCGAGATCCGAACCCGGGCCACCAGTAGAGGAGTGCACACACCCAACCGCTAAGCCAGAGTAGGTACTATACATGTAATAACAGTACAAATATATGCACTTGAAGAGTTTAAATTTCAAGTTCTATAAGTGAACAAAATAATAGACATAAAAAAAGGAAAAATCAACATACAAACTGTAAAATACAATTAATTTATATTGGGGAAGGAAAGCAAGTTCTATTAATTAAAAAAACAAATACATGTAAAATTATTTTAGTGAATATCTGTTGTTTTTGCCCATCCAGCAACCTTTCTCCCTTCTTCAGGAAATGACACTTCAATTTTCCTTTAGGAACTTTATGTCACCTATCCGTAATTCACGTGATTTGAAACTGTATCCCTCTAGGCCTCACTCCAGGGTGGGAACAAGATCCAATCCCAGCCACAAAGCATTCCATCACTCTGGCCACAGAGATCGCCTCTAGGATGGGCAATGACCCAAGTCAAGCCAATGAGACTCCCATACAGTGGTTTGCTGGAATCATAGAGAAAGGGAAGTTCTCTCTCTGCTGGCATTTCTAAGGTTGTAGCACGTAAGCCTAGTGCTATTAGTACCATCTTTCCCAAGAAGTCTGACTCTAGACTCTTTACTTTTCCACATTGATTTCCAAATATGCAAGAGTAAGTAGTGCTTACCTGGTGGCAGGGAAAAGATAAATTAGGAATTCCACTTTCAATGTTATATTTTCTATAATGTTTCCATTTTTCAAAAATAAGCACATATTTTTTCTTTTTACATATTACTTTTATAATAGGACATATAAAACATAAAAATATACTGCCCCTGTGTTTTCTTCTCATATATGCTCAGATATCAATATTTAATGTCTTAAAAGCATTAACAATTTTCTTTTAATTTACCAAAGTGAGTAGAATATCTATTTAAAAAATCAACGGCACAAAATCAAGCTATTTTCGCTTTGAGTGGGGGAAAAACGTTGTGAGTAAACTTTTTTTAAAAATTGATTCTTTTACAAAGGGATATATCAACTCTATAAGGAAAAATACCGGTTAACGTTCAGCGTTGCAGCCACTGTTAAAATTGCTCAAGAGGTAAAACCAAAGATTAAAAGTGGCTAAATCAGGTTTAATAACTTTATCAATTACTTTAGTCCTATAATTCTGAGTAAGATCCAAAGGGTAGTTAAATCCTTCAGTAACAATTGTTTTACATAATATTGCATAATGAAAGAAATTATATACCATTGTTTTATTCTTAAATATAGGAAAGTCAGTCTCAAAATGCACCCCTTGGGAATGTAAAAAGTCTACTGAATATAGTAAATGTTGGATAAATTATAAAAGAAGATAGCAATACACGCTTTTGCTCTCTTGCTTTTACAGTTTCTATCACTCTTTCCCTTTCTCCCCAGGCACACAACCCACTCCTGAATCTTTGCTTTTTGTCAGTGGTTACTTTGTGTTTTATAATCCTCCGTAAGGACACTTAGAAGGTGTCAATGACACTTTTTTTTTTTAATTTTATTTACTTTTTTTTTCCCCAAAGCCCCAGTAGATAGTTGTATGTTATAGCTGCACATCTTTCTAGTTGCTGTACGTGGGACCCGGCCTCAGCATGGCCAGAGAAGCGGTGCGTCAGGGGATCCGAACCCGGGCCGCCAGTAGCGGAGCGCGCGCACTTAACCGCTAAGACACGGGGCCGGCCCACTTTCTTGACAAAATTAGGGGCCAGAGTGACGTTCTTAAGTGGAAGAGATAATCACCTATCAAGGGTGATGATAGAGTAACAGTAGGCAGAACCACCTTCTCACACACAAGTGGCAGTAGGTTCTAAAAAGTTTTTAGGATAAGGCGATATTCAATAAGTTCATTACCTTGTCCAACACCAGAAAGACAGCGGGTTGGTCATCCTGGCCAACACCTGTCTCAAGATGCTGACATTTTATTAATCTGTCATACGGTTTAATGAAACCTAAACTCTCTACTGCTATCAACCTCTAACTGTTTCACTTTATGTGCAAACTCCTTCTACTGCTAGGTCACTCGCACATGTGACCCAAAGGGCTGCTTTAACATAAACAAAGATATACCCAAGAAACTACCCCAAAAACTGTGACAGACACATCTATTTATAAAATAACAGAAAGAAAATGGGTCTTTCCAGGTACCACAGGGAGAATAAAACATTTTACTCTCGTCCCTTAGCTATAAAATGGTTATTCTACTGATATTTACAAATACCTACAATACTTTTTAGGGATCTGAAAGGGAAGGTAAAGAAACTATAAACCATAAGATTACAGAGATAGTAACTTAAAGAACAGTCCGTTTTAAACTTTTCTCCCAACATTCACACAGAGTCAATAACACCCGGCTCATTCTCAAAGCATCGTATGGCGGGCCAGGATGGAATGAGAGAATGAGAACGGGAAGACACTGGAAAAGATCAAAGCTGAACGTCCAAGAAGCCTGCCTTTTGTTTTGCTCCTTCGGGTCCCTATTGATTTTCCACTTCTTTTTTCGCTTCAATGATTCATACTTCTCCCCATCAGAGATCTAACTGTAAACTCCACTACCCACTTCCAATCACATCCACAAGTCCCAGGGGAACCAGGCAAGTTTACCTGTGTCTCCTGGTCGCCTGTGAGAAGGACGTCGGCCCCCAAGACAACCCTGCAGTTGGGAACTCGGCATTGGGAGAAGTTCTCCCGGACAGGGAAAAGAGACAGAGTGAGGTGAAGGAAAGCGGAGAACAGGAAGCAGACAGGACTAAGGACTCCTCTCAGACCCCTGAGCTGAGCGCATCAGGGAAGACAGCTGTCCCGCCAGACCTGAGAAGTCGCCGGAGCCCAGAGCCGACAAACGTCAGGTCGCTAAAGCTGTTTCGTCCCCTTCCCTTTCGACTTCCCTAAATGGCTATCTCCTCACACGCTTTAGACTGCAGGACTCACCCGTCCACGCTCGAGCTTCAGCGGCTTCTGGGCCAAAACCGCCCACCTCCGACAACCATGGAGACGAAAAAACAGCAGACACAGCCTCCACCTCCACCGCCCACCCTCACGTGACTCTTTTAGCCGCTGGGCCTGTCGGGATCGTGACGAAGTGCATGCGGGAGGGGCACGAGGAAAAGGGAGTGGGGCGGGGCCAGGAAAGCAACCTGCCCCGCCCCGGCCTCAGGCTCCGCCCCGGTCTGGGGCCCCGCTGCCTCAGTGTTTAGGCGGGAAAGCCGGAGTGCTCCCAGAAGCTCTCGGGCTTTTCCTCTGGTGCTTCACCCCACCCCCAGCCCTCACCCCACCCAAGGGGTATAGGAGCCTGTCAGGAGCTCTATTGTGCCTGCTGGCACCTCATTGGTACCCGTTTAGTGTTGGCTAAGCAAAAAGGAGTCAGTGAAAGAAAACTGGGCTACTGTGAGTTGGAAATTGTTCCTTTCGAACTGCATTTAGGTTTAGGCTTCTGGTAGAATTTCCGTTTCCTGACCTTGAAGCTTCTTTGAATTTAGAAACGTCACCACTTCTCTACTCTGTGCCTTTTTGAACTGTTCTCTTTGCAAACTAATACTGCTGGAGAATTTAATCCCTAAGATACTAATAACATGTTTTTCTCCGAAGATGTTGCCGTCAGAAGTGGGGATGGAGAAGGATCGTCTCTCCTGCTATGGAAATAAAATGAAAATATTTTGATTATGATAGCAGAGAACTTTCAAATAAAAATTTCCTCTTCAAGAATTTCCTCAGCAGAGCTGTTGAAAGGCTACAACCGTGAAAACAAAAGGAGGCAGACAACTATCAGTGGGCTAAATTGTGAAGTAGGAAAAACAACTATTTTCTCCATTTCTTCTCAGAGGACCCTCCCTCCCCACTAACCTAAAAGCAACAGATTGTGTTTATGCCACTGTGCTAGCACTTCACATACAACCCAGTGTTTGTTTACAACCCCTCTGTGGGATGGATACTGTTTTTATTAGATTGCAGGTGGAGAGGCAGGCTAAGACCCCTAACGTAATGCAGTAAATTCTGTAGCTGGGACACAGACCTGAGCAGAACACCAAAGTCTAGACTCTTAAGCAGTATTCTTCAATCTGTTCTCCTCTGTATCTACTCGCCACAGGAATTAGGAGTCTTTGCTGCTTTGCTTCTTAGCTATCAAAATGTACCTTTTCTGTGTCTTTTTGCATTTAGAGCCTGTTCTGGGTTAAATGAGAAATCTGATAAAGAAATCATACCCCATTTATTACTAAGCACTTAGCATGGTATCCTTCCCAGGCAGCACTAACTCTGATAATGGGAATTTCAAGTTGTGTAATAGATTTCTGTGGAACACTTTGGAGGCTCATAGACTCTTAAATAGTAGATAAGTCAACTGTTTCTCAGAGCACAGAAAAAAAGAAAGTTAAATCATCAGTACATAAATGTTGAGCAAAAATCAATTTTTAAGAATTAGTGAAATTCAATTCTGATTTTAGGCAATATTTGTCTATATAAAACTAACCAGTTGAGCTAATTATTAAATAGCATATAAAAACATAAATCATTGGTTCTCAAACTTTTTAGCTTCAGGACATTTTTACACTCTTCAAAATTATTGAAGACTACAAACAACTTTTGTTAATGTGTGTCATACCTATCAACACTTACCATATTAGAAATTAAAACTGAAATTTTTAAATGTTTATTTAGTCATTAAAAAAATGAACCCAGTATATGTTGACATAAATAACATATTTTTATGAACAATAACTATATTTTCCAAAAAAAAAAAAGGAGCAGCCTGGTTTTACATTCTTGTAAATTTCTTTAATGTCTAGCTTCTAGGAGACAGCTGATTCTCACGTCTTTTCTTCATTGATCTGTTGCAATATCATACATCATGTGAACTGGAAAACTTCACTGTACACTCAGAAAATGAGATTAATAAAGGCAAATAACAGCTTATTATTATTAGGAAAAAAGTCTTGACCTTATGGATCACCAGGAAGGGTTTCAGAAACCCCCAGAAGTCCTTGGACCACCACTTTCAGAACCATCATTTTAAACCAAACAAATGTTAGCTACTATTGTATTTTTTGTCTAACCATTTTGGCATCAAGTAGAACATTTAGTGGAAAGAGTAAAAGACAGAGACAGTTTACAGACGAGACCAATCTTATAAATATGAGTGTTCTTTCTTCATTTTTCAGGATCATAGAGTAAATTAGTGGAATTCAGGGTCATAACTGAACACAACTACACTCTGCATTAAAAATCGGTCCACCAATCCAATATTGTCTTTCAGGCTGCTGTGCAAGGTGGTTCCTGTCACATGAATATATAATATCACTAAAGTGGGTTTGTATCCCCTTCATAAGCCAGTATTAAGACTCCAATAAAATTTTAAGTCAAAATTCTTTTCATAAGCATGTATTGAATGCCTGCTATATGCAAGACTCATAATAGGTGCTGGGCTTATAAAAATTTATAACCATAGTACCTGCCCTTGGGCCAATTTATATATAATGAGACGTACCCTGGTATAAATGTATTTTTTGCCATGTTCAATAGTTGCCAAGTCAGTTTGATGATCAAATGTCTCAGAATCATCTTGGGAGATTTACAAAATACAGAGTTCTGGATCATGAAATATGCTGTTTAAGCGGACCAGGGTGGTGCTCAGGTATTTGGACTTTTAAAAAGTGACCAGGTGATTCCCATGTAATGATGGGTTTGGGAATGTATACGAAGTACGTGCAACAAAGAAATGGATTTGTTCTTTGCCCCTAGTGCTATCACACAAAATATGATCTTTTTATTTCATCTTCAGTATTTCAAAAATATATCATTGTTGTAAGATCTGTGTTATCAAGAGATGAGTACATATTTAATTCGATTCAGTTAAAATAGAAATTGCTGTACTTATTTCAAACATATTATAGTTCATCTGTCTTTATCACATAAAAATAATAATGTGAGTTGTTACCACAGCAGTTTCCAACATATCACACCACTGTAAAAAGCAAAACATCTCTTGCAACAAGCATCTGACTGCAAAAAGTGTTATTTTATAGAGCTTTGATTCAATTTCTTTAAAGTGAATTATATGAGATGTCCTATGTTCCGTTACACTTATCTTCAGTGTTCCACGATTACGTTGTAGTATTTCAAAACCTATGCAGTCTTTCATTGCAAATTTCTATTATGTTTGAGTAGCTACCTAAAGACTTATGATCCACAGTTGCTGTTGCAGTGAGTGTTCTTTGCTAATAATTGTAGCCAGAATTAATTATATTCAAGTTGAAAGGAAAAATCCAAAAAACGAGCTTAAAATTTCCTTCTTTCTCACTACAAGGGGGAAACAAGGAAATAGCTAAATCAGCCATAAATATGATGATTTATAAAAATTGATATACATGCCTTTTGATTTTATAATTAAAACTAACTTCAAAATTAAAGGCTCCCTGCCCAGATCTTGATTTCTAAATACCTTTCTCCATGAAAAGGAACCAGGGCTTCTTGGAGAAACAGCTGATTTCACAGATAAAGCAAGGCGGTACAAGATGACCTGGAACATCTTGTTGTGCCTGAAATAAAAAATGGGGGCATGTCAACAGGAGCCAGCTTGAAGGGCCTCTCATTTAGCCAAATCTGGGATAACTAGAGTATCAAAATAAGAACAATAATGAATTATGATCCGTTGAATAAAATAAGAAACATTAGTGAGAGACAGGGAGGGAAATGAGGGGAAAAGGAAAACCCACTGATAAATACAGAGAATGGTAGAGTTGGAAAATCACCATTTTCGAAGTATCATAGAAAAGGTTGGTTTGGGGAAACATTATCAATGGATTCTAAATCCAGAGGGGAAAGCTTGATGAGAAGCAGCATATTTTCATGTTTTCAAGTATCCCTCCACAGATTGTGCATTTGTTGAAAGGTGAAAATAGTCAGTATACAGTGGAGAAACTAGGCAACACTTTGATCGGTGATCATGTGCCTCCAGATGTGATAACTGAGAAGGACATAATATCACTTAAATCTAATTATGAGGAAACATCAACCAAACCCATATTGAGGATCATTCTATGAAATAACCATCATGAAAGACCAAAAAGAAAAGAAAAGAAAAGAAAAAGGCTGAGGAATTAATTGTTCTATATTAAAACGGACTCAAAAGACTTGACAACTAAAGTTGATACATGATCCTAAACTAGAACTTGTACTAGAGCAGAGGAAATGCTATAAAAGATTTATTGGAACAGGTGACAAAATTGGAATATGGACCACAGATTAGATAAAAGTAGCTCCCACATTTGATAACTGTGTGATGATTATATAGAGGAATATCTTTTTTCTTAGTAAATACACACTAATGTATGAAGAGGTAAAGGGGCATGATGTACGCAATCTATTCTCAAACGGTTCAGAAAAAATAAATCAAAATATCTAGAGAGAGAGAATGATAAAGCAAATGCAGCAAAATGTTAAAAATTGGTGAACTTGAATAAATGATATTCAGGAGTTTTCTGTTCTATTTTTGCAATTTTCCTGTAAGTTTAAATTGTTTTTAAAAAGAAATATTTTAAGGGCTCTCCAATCTCTCTCAGACTTCATTCCAAAATGGGCAAGAACATTCATCATGAATCTTTTAATTTATTTAGTCATTTTATTTCCACTATTATTATTAGTCAGATGGTAGTTATCTTTTAAAATCTTAGTTGATTATAGACTGCCGATAAGAAGAAAAGCAACTGAATTTACAAAAGGCCAAAAAATTTCCTAATCCCAGTCACAGGAACTTTTTATATTTGCAACTAAAATTTGATTCTAAATGTTTTAAAAATTGACTAATTGAGCCAATTATTCAGATGAATCATGATTAAACAAGGGAGAAAAAGCAAAGTTAGTACACTTGTTCCAATTTCCTTAAATTATTTTAGACAATTAGCTTTTCAACTTCCTTTAAGCATCATCTAAAGTTTCCTCTAAAGATTGGCACAGATGTTATCTCAGGGCGAATCTTCCTCAGCAAAAAAAATAAAAATAAAGTTTCCTTGGGCTGGCCCCGTAGGGTAGCAGTTAAGTGCTCGCACTCTGCTGCTGGCGGCCGGGGTTTGGATCCCGGACGTGCACCAACACACTGCTTGTCAGGCCATGCTGTG